GAATATTTTTTTTTTAAGTATTGGGATTCTAAATAATTTAGAGCTTTGTGTAGGCCAGCTGGCTGGGGAATTCTGGGAGCTGAAGTCCACACATCTTAAACTTGCCAAGGTTGAGAAACACTGGTATAAACCAATGTCAACATCTTAAATGGGGCCCAGTAGAGTGGTGCAATGCAGGGCTTTCACACCTAGCTGTCCCATTTTATAATCAGGCAACTGTTTCTACCCCAGTTACAGTTTCCAGACAATCTTTAGAGGTAGCCCCATGAACACTGCATTGGAGTAATCTAAGCAAGACATCTGGACTTTGAAGAAGCAGGACAGGAATAGCATTAAGGCTTTTGAATTTTGGTGTTGGAGAAGACTCTTGAGAATACCATGAATAGGCAAAAAACAAAGAAATGGATCATTGAACAAATCAAACTCAGGAGTTCTCACTTGAGGCACAAATGACCAGGCTCAGATTATCCTACTTTGGACACATTATGCGAAGACTCGGCTCTTTGCAAAGGCTCTGATGCTGGGAAACGTGGAAGGAAAAAGAAGATGACCAGCAAGAGGGATGGACTCTGTCACAGGGGTGATGGGGGCACCGTAGGAAGACCTAAAGGACCAAGTTAGCAACAGATCGTCATGGAGAAAATTGATCTATGTGGTCACTAAGAGTCAACACCAACTTAATGGCAATAATCAGTCAAGTGCAACATCATTAGCTTACTCCCTGGGAGATGGAAGTTACAATCCAAAATATTTAGAGGATACCTAACATAAAGATTTGCTCAGTTCTGAATATATACTCTGCAGAGAGATGAAGAACAACCCTTACCTGGAAACTCTAGCAGCTCCCCCTCTTCATCCTGCAGAGTTTCAACATCATAGCTGGTATTTTCCTTCTCATTCTGCACAAACAGAAGATTAGATGAGAGATTTCCAGAAAGTGGGAGTCTATGACAAAGGGCTATGGATAAGAGCTGAAGCTACACCAAGACCGACTGTGTTCAACTCAAGGAAAAGACAACTATTTTGGAAAATGATGTTATGCAAAGGCCAGGTGTCCATTTGTCTCTCCTAGGATGTGGTACACAGCTTTAACCTGACCATAAAATGGCTGGACAGCTTGCCCAGTCACTCCATCTGAGCAAGGCAACGTACCTCAAGCTCATCTTAGAGGAATGTCTTGACACTCAAATACTCCTTCATTACCTCAAACAATGAAAGACGGCTTCGTAGCACCTCCAGTTCCTTCCCAAGATTTTCTTTCTCATTTGCTGTCTCCGCCAGTTGGTTCTGAAGATCCTCTAGCTGGTAGATCACAGAAAATAAGGTTTTATTCCAATTGTGATGCTCACCTTTTGGAGTACCTGGTGAATTCTTTTCAACAGAGAGAAAAGTCCTAGCTGCAGCAATTCCCAGGGCATTACAGGACTACTTGATGGACTTAGTCGGACTGAGTTCACACAACATGCTGAACTAGGCTAAAATGGAGTTGGATGGTTTGCAGTTCATTGTGGGAAACTAGGAATGTGCATCTTCGAACCTGAAGTGGGAAAGATGCTTCAGATCTACACATCCCTATGAGAAGCTCAGTCATTGCTTTTCATGCTGTGTGAATCTCTTCCTTGGGTTCAAATCCAGTCCCCTCTCTTTACACTTTTCCTCTGATGATAATCTGGCCTTTCACTTCCCACAGACGCTTGAAGGTGGCAGTGGTCTCTTTACATTCTCTGCATTCCTGCCCTGGGACTTTTCTCTAGCACCTAATGAAACTTGTTAATGTGGCTTTAGGAGTTGCCCGGAGGTTCAGAGGAGTGGACAGTTTGGAGATGTTTAAACAGACTGCACGCTGGTTTGGGTAGAACTAAATATCGAATGGAAAAATGGGGGTTTCTTTCTGAGGACAAGGATATTTATTGTGGATGTGG